AATAAAATCTATATAAAATGTACGCAGGCACACTCGTACAAATTATTTGTACACAAATATTTAATTACGCTACTAATTGCCAGTGACGATTAACAGCCATGAAATGAGACACTCGGGCTATTCGAGTTTAAGATACTTTGTAGACGGGGAAGCTACGGTATACTCCCCCTACAGCAGATGTTGTGCAATGTTATTTTATTTCGCTAGATCAAGTGGCATTATTTTGCTCTGTGGGAGTTTTATTCAAGGCGTTCCCGCTTTTGTGGCTTTCACAGAAATTGCAATGATCTCAGCTCCAGTCAAAATCACTTTATGGATATTTATGACCTGTTTTATATATCACAGCGATGTTTTTGCTGATGTCTGTGTGGGTGGAGTGACCATGACGTCACTGCTGCGAAACAAGTTGGCCTTTGTCAGCAATCGAGCAATCATTTAAATGACATTACGCAAATAAAAGTAAACAACAAGCCAGATACACTTGTAGAAATATTTTAAAATGTGTTTTATATATATTTTTAAAAATCTTTATTTAGAACATTTATACTAATTTAAAGATTAAAATATAATTTTAAATCTAAAATATTTTAAGCATTCATTTTAAAATATAAGTTTAAAAATAGTTATCAGTAAAATACAATGTAAAAAATTTAGTTATGAGTGTATGAGACGCCCACTACTTGGATTGCAAACACTTGTTTTTTTTTGTCTGACTGTCTGGCTTCAGTGGGTCACCCTTTCTCATTTTATAAAGGGAAGGGATAACGGGGATGTTCACCCTTGAAGTGAAGTAAACTTACAAGAATATTCCATTGTTTTTCTCGTTTTACCACCTTTGATTAAAAAGCCAGCAAAATGGGAATCAGTCAGTCAAATAAAACTAAAAATGAATACAGGAAAAGATTGACTTTTCAACGGTTTAGAGTTTGAGGAAGTGGGGGTATACACTAAGCCGACATTCCATCCCGCCGTGTTTACACAGTGACTGTTGACAATAAGCCTAAATGCCACATTGACACATATCTTTCTGCTTATTTCTACACACAACAAAATTTGTTACGTCAAATCGATCAATGTAACTCAAAAAATAGTTTTGTAATCATCAAAAATAGTCCATTGAGAGAATTAATCAAAAAAAAAAACGACAATCAAAAATTCTCATAATACCCTTGCAGAGGGTATTATAATTTCAGTCAAAAGTTTGCAACGCAGTGAAGGAGACATTTCCGACCCTATAAAATATATATATTCTTGATCAGCATTCCTAGGAGAGTCGATCTAGCCATGTCCGTCCGTCTGTCCGTCCGTCCGTTTCTACGCAAACTAGTCCCTCAGTTTTAAAGCTTGAAACTTTCCCAAAAGTTGTCTTTCTATTGCAGGTAGTATATAAGTCGGAACGAGCCGGATCGGGCGACCATATCATATGGCTCCCATAGGAATAATCGGAAATAAATAAATTCAAAAAAATTATAACTTTGTTGTTTTAAATTTTTTTGTTGTTCTTAGGGATTTTGTAATATTTAAATATTATGGAATTACGGTTTTAATTAAATTAAATTCATACAACAATATCATATAGCTGCCATAGAAACGATGGCCAAATGCAGCGCAAAAGGGACATAGCTTTATTGTTTTTAGTAATATAGGAATATAAATCGAAATGTAGTCGTTTTGTAATAACTGCAAGGGTATATAAACTTCAGCTTGCCGAAGTTTGCTTCCTTTCTTGTTTTTTGTTTAATTTGCTCAGCTTGAGAATAAATTTTAAAGAACGGAAGCTCTTAAATTGCGTATAGAAGTAATACTTTTATAACATTTGAGAAAAAAAACGATCTTAATTCAGGAGCAAATAATATTAATTTAAAAAAAACACATTAACTTTATATTCTTACTTTCGAACTTAAATATTAAAATTAATTAAAGCGACTGCTTCGGTTTTGTTTAAGTCGATTTTAAATTCAGTAATATCTAGAAAATCAAAATAAATAATCATTAATCTTAATTCTTCTGGCAATGTATGTTAAGAACATGACGTTGTGCGAATAAATTGTCGTTTTTCTTCGATTGCAGTTTCAATAGCCGGCATACTGCGGACAAACGGGAAATTGTCTGCTGCGACGTCTGAGTATTTAGTTGAGTTTTTTCGTAAAGTTGTCTGGCTTTTGCTGGTTGCCTTGGGACGGATGTTGGTTGTGACAGGCGGAATTCCGAAGAGTTTGGGCGTAAGCGTGGGCAGAGGTTTAGTAATAGCAGTAGTTATGGGCGGCAGCTGGCAAGCAACTCGTTTATTAAGTGGGTGACTCTATTCAATAAATACTAAATCAAAATCCGATTCCCCTATATAAAAATCCTTGCTTAATTGGCACGCAAATTGACAGCTCCTCCCTCCCACTTTGTTAGTCCATTTGTATGTTTTAAACTCATTGGCGTGCCAGAAGGCAATTCAAAATGCCATAACAATCAGTTGGCAATTAAACGGCGCCTTTCCCAAAACCTCCACCTCCTTGCTCCCCAAGTGCCAATGGGCGTGGTAATTCAAAATCTGCTCAATGATGTGGACGATCGGCAATTACTAATCAAAACCACCACAGCAAGTGCATGAAAAAACAGTTGCGTTTAATACGGTGGATATACCATATACATATCAATTGTCTGGGGGTGTCCACTTGAGAAAGCTAGGTTTCAAAGAGGAAAACTAGATGACTGCCCAGTGTTGGAGTGGATGAATTGGATAATCTAGAGGCAGGGAATCACTCAACTCAGACTGAGACTCAGGCGGAAACCAGACTGAGACTCCGGCTGAGAGTCATGAATGAACGAAGGTGGGCTAACAGACAATATCTGCACTAGCCGAAAGAAAGGCAGATTTGAAAAATTAAATCAAAAATGAAACCAAAAATTAACTAAAAAGTAAAAAACCATAAAAAAATATATATATTTTCAATGAACAACAACATATAATATAATAACATTTACATATGCTGACCAACATGTTCAGCATATGTTAATGTTATTATATTATATGTTGTTGTTCATCATGAATTATAGTTAATTTTTTAAAAGTGGAGAATTAAAAAATGACTTAATTATAAAAAATTTATAATTATAAAGAAAATTTATTTTGTAATGTTTATCCGGAAAAAAATATCTTCCTTACAGAAAGTATTAAATGACAAATTTAAGCTATTCCCTTTAAGATCACCATTGTCTATTTGATACCATTATTGAACGCAATTAACTTTTGTTTTTTGTTGATACAAATTGTTAATGCCAAACCAACTTTTTATTTTTTAGTCTGAACTTATTTTTCTTGGTGTGTTACCTTTTTGGTGTCTGTGTGATATTTTTTTTTAAGAAGCGAAAAAAGGCCAACTTGGTCGCATTAAGCCTACGCCAAAAATCCGATACTTATTTATGGACAGAGGCTTAGTCACATTTTCGACCTGACTCACTGTGATGATCGAATACTAGTGATTACTACTCACACCTGCATAGCTTTTCCGCTGAAAGCGAAACAGCTGTTTTCGATAGCTGCTTTTCAGATCCGATCGGCTTACTTATATTTTGTAGCAGTACAAAACTCCACTTTCCATTTTTATAACGCGTTTATCTAAAAGCTATGGTAATTTCAAGTAATGCATCTCAGCTGTTCGGGGAACTCTCTTAGCATTCACTCTTGAGTGGATAAATCGAAATACATTCGACTCTCTCTCCTCTAATATATTGCATCTTACATTTTTATGGATTCTTCTACTATTTTTACACATAATATTTTATTTTTGTCCGCTGTTTGGTTTGTTTATGGCAAGTTGAAAAGTTCTTTCAACTGCAGTTTCCAAATTTGTTTACAAGTGCGTGTCGATCTAAGGTCTCCCTCTAGTTCCACGACTTTTTCTTTGCGGCTTGGTTTATAAACCACAAAAAAGACGAGAGCCAAATTAGGGCTTTTTGTTTATTAACGGCTATGACCATTAGCGGCTTATATTATTTTCTTTTTATTCTCTCTTCTCGGCGAGCCCACATGTTTAAGCGGCTTCCTCTGGCCCGCATAAAAAATAGCCAACGCACTGACCAAATATGAGGAATTTCTTTATATTTCGCATACACTGAAAGAAATTAAAAAAATATATATCCTTTACAAAAAGTAACACAAAACAAACAGACTTTTACTTGATGCATTTAATTTATGTAGTGCCTTTTAATTATAGTACTTTCCAATATCCAATTTTGCCATTTGGAAAATAAAATTAAAGTTATTGAAAATTTGTTGAAATCAAAAATTAAATAAAAAAAATCAACCAACAATAATGTAGTTTAATGATGTAAATTGACTGGAAAATAACGTAATAATCATAATTATTTTTTTTCTCAGTGCACTTACTCATACTCAAAGGCAATTTTGGGCATTAATGTGGTGGCTTAAGCTGCGAAGAGCGCTTAAAGAGCGGCATTCGCTCTGCTCTCCTGGTTTACAGGTAGATTCTACCAAGGTGATCACAAATTATGGTCAGATGTTCTCTTGCTCAGTTGTTCTGCGCTAACTGACTTGGTTAGTTTTTTCTAGATCAAAGATCAATAGTTTCCTAACTCTTTTGCTGAATAAGTAATTTGATGCCTTTCTCTGTTATTTTAATTTTTGTATCTTTGGGTGTTCTTTTGCTCTTTTTTCTGGCAACTTGTCTTGGTTTCAATCAACTGGGAAAAGGGATGAACTAAGCGGAAAAGAAATGAACTGGTGAACAACTGAACAAGCGAAAGAGCAAAGCTGAAGAAGTTTAATCACTCAATTCAAACTAAGCAACTGATCTCCAGAATTGAGCACTGTTTACTCTGCACAACCACGCAGTCAGTTGGGCGAATACACCTGCTCCGCTCACTTACACTCTGTCGCCCCCGCTCACTCTCTGAGCTCTCTTCGCTCTTGTATCTTCTCTCTCGGCTCTTGTATCTCAACTTTTGTTTCTCAGCACCCAAGTGAGTTCGCTTAACTCAACGGCGCTCAGTCAAATTTGGACCGCGATTCCGAGCGGTTGGGCGTTTCTCTGCTAGAACTTCGTACTCTTACCAGTGACTGTGTGTGTGCGTGCGTTGCGGGCATATATATGTGTGTGGTGTGGAAACAACAATTTGTTAACGCATACACTCACTAAAAAAGTGAGAAAAACCTAAAACAAAGTGCAAAAATTAATATTAATTCCCTAAAATTCAACATTCAAATCTTACATAAAAATTCCGCGTTTATCTTTAGTGCAAAATTGTTGTTGAAGCCACAACGACGCCAAAACAGTATAATAATAAATAAATGATTAAATTGAGTGACTGAACGAATGACCGACGTTGCTATCGTCCTAAATAAACTAAACCGATAAATGATCATACTTGAAAACCAAAAACTCAGATCTTTAATATTCCCGAAAAACCAGCAGCTGTGTTGCATTTTTTAAATATTTGCCTGTCGCAAACAAGAAATTTTCAATATCTCCCAACTTCGTTTTAGTTGTGCGTTGTTGTTTTTGCCATTTTTTTTTATTGTTCATGTTGTTGTCTGTCGTCTGCTAGCTTTTCATTCAATAACCAGTTTTTGTCAGATTTTTTCTTTAGATTTTGGTGAGCTTGAATTGCTCTTTAGGGGCGATCTGGTCTCGGATTTGTGATCGTTGCACACGCACTAAAATCCACAAAGTCGCACTGTAGTCTGTATTTCATTTGGGTTTTTCTTTATAAAGACAAATTAGTCATGCCAAACGCAGGCACAGCTCACTACACCCAGAAAAAAACCAGGTGAAAGGTGAAATTATAAATTTTTCTTAGTGATAAAATAGTAGTGATTAGTTTAATCATAAATTTGCTATTTTTGTTACGCAGGTAGTTTTAAGTTATGATAAAATCAAAATTTCTATTAACAAAGAAAATTGGTAAAGTTTCAAAATTGTGATAAGAGAAAAGTGAATTATTTTTATATAGAACCAAAAAGTGGTGCAATACATTCAGTAAAATTTTAAATAAATGTATCATATTATTCATTTTTAAACAATTTCTTTTTGTTTAGGAATTAAAAATTAAATTTTTAAATTTAAGTCAAATCTTTTAAAACACAAATACGTTAAAACCAGTTAAACTTAAAATTTTAAAATTAATTAATAATGTTTCTGTATGTGTACACTCCATTCTCCCTCCGTCTCTTTTATGCGATCTCTCTTTTATTTTACCTGAAGTTCTGAACATACAGTTTTCTTGACATGCCAGGAATACTTAATTCCGGCTCTCCTGATTACATTTGGCTTAGAAAAGTAAGAGAAAATGCAGAAATCGCATAACTGTGCCACAAAGTGTCAGGTGAGGCGAAGAAGGAGGAAAAAGGGGGAAGAAAGAGAGAGGCTAAAATCCAAGTTCAGACAGTCGCAGTGGGGAAATACTTTCCGTGTACTTATTTGTGTGAGATTTTACATGTGAATGGAAAAAATGCATAAAAAACAAGAAGCCAGCAAATAACAACAATAAAACCGTAACGATAAGAAACAAACAAAATATGAGTGAAAATTGTTAAAAGGCACTTGCAGCAAAACGAAAGATGCAAATAGCAAAAAATACACAAAATAGTGATGACGATGAGAAATAAATAAAATCGTTAAAAAACCAATGGACCAAAACTGAAACCTAAACCAAAATTAAAGCAAAAGTTCACAAAAAACCAAGAAAAATGTTTGTTTGTCATTTAGCTTCTTTACGCTCAGCGTTGGCATACAAAAATGAATACTTAAAGCATACAATGCAAACAAATTGAAAAAAGAGAGGGTTAGCTGAAGTTTAAATACCCTAGCACGTTTTGCGAAGATCGATTCTTTATAGCTTACCAATCCAGGATATTGGTATACCGATTTTAATAATTCCTTAAATAACAATGTTTTCATTTTTTAATTCTTTATTATAAAAAACGACGAAAGTTTAAAAGTTTATTACGATCGTTTCTAGAATTTTATCGTTAGGATCAAATTTAAAAAAATTAGGCATAATAAAACATTTAGAAAGCTTTAATGCAGGGCAAAAATTGAAATAGCCTTTTGTAACTACACCTACTTTAAATAAAAAATGAGTTGAGAGAGCAAAAAAGAAATTTGTCCGTCCATATCTACATACGCCTATGGGTATATATAATTGTATTCGTATCTAATCAGAGCGACAACTCGTCTCCTGGGCGCGTCGCTGGTTGCGTTACTAGTCGTTTATTTATTGTGCTTACGGGTCCGATCCAGAAATACAGCTCCAACTTGACCTCGTAAATTGAATGAAATCACCCACAAAAAAAGTAACTCCAAAATCGGGCAGATTTTTTTGTTTAGTTTTGCAAATGAAAGTACACGAAAAAATTGGATCGCATTTTTGTCATTGTCAAGATTGCAAAAATGGAGGAAGAAATGTGGACAAGAAATGAAATGATTTAAGTGTACGGTTTTATTTGAGCATTGTGTGTGCAGCTGCGTCTGATTTCAGTTTCAATTTATCTTTATAAATTTCAATTTGGCTGCTGGGTAAAAGTGAAACGATCGGGATCGCGCCCTTTCCCCATTGTATCTCAGTATCCGTATCTGTAGCCGTATCTGATGGATACATGGCGTCGCCAGTTCGTTCGCCCCTGGCGACAAATGCATCATGTACACTAGTGTAACTGCTAGATACATTTCGCGCAGCACGTTTTTCATTTGGACCAGGGCCAATTGGCACAAAATGCCGGCAAAGCGCAAAAACAAAAAGTAAGATTCTCAGATACAGAGAAACGCAACACAGAAAAAAATGCTTGGAAAATTATTATTGGGTCTACCATATATATGAGTGATCCCAAAAACAATTAGGATCAAAGAAATTAAACTCTCATAAAGTATGAAAAAAAACTTTCAAGAACAAGTTTTTTTTGGAAAAAAAATATTAGTTTAAAATATAAATTTTTTTATGTGTGATGGCTAACTTCCCCACCGAGAACTTTTACTTAAATGTAGTTTAGTGCTTAGTACTTTTCTTTTTGGTATCTCACTAATTGCAACTCATTTGCAATTGCTGATTCTGATGATTTCACGTTCAAGTACGCGAATCGCGGCGCCTCAGTCTGAATCATCGCAGCTTAAGTTATTCAAATATATTTAAATTTGCCAGCACCAACTTCAGGTTCAGCCAACGGAGAGCAAAAACAAAATAAAAATCGCAAAGTGCCATCGCAAAACAAACATAAACTCCAAAACGTGCTAAGAATCGAAAAAAAATTAACGAGTTTTCGGCGAAAGTTGAGTGTGTCCGAAGAGTTTTAAGTGTATCTGAGTCTTTTAATGTGCCACCCGCAAGATGACATCGCATTCCTACTATAAAGACCGTTTGGGCTTTGATCCCAATGAGCAGCAGCCCGGAAGCAGCAGCTCGATGAAGCGAAGCAGCTCGCGACAGACGACGCACCACCACCAGAGCTACCACCATGCCACCACCAGTAGCGGTCAGTCGCCGGCAAGAGTTTCCGTTTCTCCGGGTGGTGCTGGAGTGGGACCATCTGGCAAAAATGGATCTCTGGAGTACCAGCAGGTTCAGCGGGAGCAGCGAGATCGGGACGTGTACAGCAATAATACCAGTCATCAACACCATCAACAGCACCACCATCGCCACTCGGCGGGCAGTGGATCCTCGCCGCTCTATGAGACCAGCAGTCCAGCTGCACCCAAAAAGGCCAAGCAGTCATCCACCCAGGCACAGCCTCAAGGTGGCTACGAGGATGCCCTTACCCAGTTCAAAGGTACCATGTCCATTTGGGATCATTTTATAGAAGATTGGGATATAATGCGTAAGTGGGAAATAGGATTTCAATTCCTTCGTGGCATGTGTTGTTCCAGTTCTATGATGTTTCCTCTTTTTAAAACCAACCAAGATTTATTAATTGCCCCAGCGGAAATCATTTGCATTTCAAGTTTGCTTCGTTTATAGCTTGTTTGTATGAATTTTAATTATGAATCCGTCGCGGGTTCATATATATTTCTAAGCTTAACTAATCTGAAAACATGTTTTCCAACGTCCACATATGACGGAAGCCAAGCTTGTGAGCAAATTATATGGGGTCAAGGTAAAAACCCTCCTTAAGTGATATCTCAGGGCTCACAGAAGTTTTAAGCAAATATTCAGTGTTCCTGACTGGTTCAAAGATTTTGGTCGGAATTTACAAAAAAAACCGGAGGAATGTGGAATACAATTGCGGTCAAAATAATAGTAGTGGCACAAGGAAAATATCAATAACGATTCTTTAATGATAAAAGAGGTGAAGAATAAATAAGTTTATATTATGCAGAGCTAAGACAATAAAATGACTTAATTTTATGGCAGTGAATTTCATATCTTTGATGGTTTTTTAAGTGTTATAAATATTTTACCAATTCCGACAATCACCAAATATAAAGTGGTGACACTTCTTGGTCAAATACAAACAAATTCTCAGACCGTTGGTCGCACCTTTCTTGGCACATCAAATGCTGATCAAATAAAAGGGTGCCAAATTGACCTTGAGTTAAATAGGGGTTTAAAATAGGGATCGGATAAGTATTGGTCATTCCTACACCCCAAAACCTCAGAATTCCAAGTATTTCCTAGTGAAGTCATTTGTATACGTTTTAGAAAGCCTGACACATATTTTCAGGCGCTAGCTAGTGATTTTGGTTAACTGACAGATTAGAAAAATAAATATTTTGAATTCCATTTGAAGTGCATTTTTATACACATGCTTATAATATAGTGTGAGCTCATAATTTATATCGGGCAAAGGCGTAAATTTCTTATCGTTGATTGCAAATGGTCAAAACACAAAGCAAACGACCTTCATAAAAAATAACAACAAATAGAAAGTGGCATTTCATTAACCCGCAATGTACTTTATTAAAAATAAAAATTATTTAATTAACTTAAAATAATAATAAATAAATAAATAGAAATACATAGATATTTTTTTTTGTACAAAAATTGGAATACTTCTACGTAATTTTTTTTAGTTTACCGAAATCTAAATGTGTTATTAAACGTCTCTCTAAGGTTAAGTGTGCTAATCAATGACAATGACTAAATACTAAAATAAACATTAACAAATAACAAATAAGCTCCTCCAAACTCTTCTACAACAACTTAACGAACGTTTAATCGTTGAAAACAAATTCAACTTAGAACGTGACATCATCACGCGCTCTTCAAAATACCGCATACAGACACATTTTCAGATAGTGCTACCCTGTATCTGTATTTGTGCCGGCGGAACCCGTACACATTTGCACAATCATTATTTGTTTGAATATTTATGAACTCTTTGTGTGTTGTTCTTGGCTTAGAGGAAGATAAAAATAAGCCCGATTACGAATCGGCTTGTGATGCATGCAATCGTGCAGAAAGATTTGTGCAAAAATTCGGGTCCCTTAATGAATGAGAGAGTTCTTGAGAGTTGGATCCTAAGCTTGAATGAAAAATTGCTAGCGGATGAGTCAGCAGCCATTGGAACAAGTTCACGGTCTTTTCGTTTCTCCATTTCCTACTCTCTCTGTGTTAACTTTTCTGTAGAGAGAGGTGAGGTATTGACGGTTTATAAGTTCTATTAAATCAGGGATGTGTGCTCAGACAATTCCGACTTTGGATCGGTTCAGGGCTCGAACCTTAATTACGATAGAATTACGGGTTACAAACCGGGTTTTTAACATGATAGTTCTGCGTTCGTGTTTATATAGTTTTTGATTTTAATTATTAAGTTCAGTTAACTTAGTAACTGTTTAATGGTTGTACATTTAATGTTACATGTTTTATAAAATTCATTTATATTTTTTTATATTTTTAAAGACATAAACTGCTCCGGAGTTATTGTCAGCCAAGTTCTATGAAATACTAATCAAAGATAACTGACAGTAAGAACACGGTCCGATGTAATAAATCCTTTATGTTATATCTTTGCGCCCAAGATTTCTATTCGCCTAACAAATATGTGAGCTCCAGGTGTAGTTTACTGTATTTGGACTTTAAACTCACCAGATCAAATTTATCATTTATCGTTGAGGAGAATAAATGATTCATTATGTATTTGACAAAAAGTTTTGGCCTGACTCTTCTACAAATTGTTTATCAATAAACATGGGTCTTATGTTGATTATTCAACTAGGTTAATAGTTGATTTTCGGCTCGTTAGACAAATTGTCGCCTGAACAGATTCAGTATATATTTATTATCAGTGGCGTAGGCAGCCGTAAATAAGCTTTCAGTAATACATATCCAAGGGCTTCGTTACTAAAATGTTACTGAGTTAAAGAGAATATGTAATGTTTCTATCTACATGACTTATTCTCTTTATTTAAAATGGTTGGGATCGCTTCACTTTAACTATTCTCGTTCTCTTCGAAACTTTATACTTTATCTTTTAGCGCTTTTGTTTTGCTTTGTAGCTTCTGCTTTGTTGTTCGTTATATGACTTGGTTATTTTCTGTTCTACTACTTTTATTGCTCAATGCACTTGAATTTATCGGGCTTATCAGTCGATTTAATTCTTTTACAATTGACTCGACACGTTGCTTCGTTGACGTTAAATTTTCTATAGGGTTTGATTTTGTAATGTATCTGGCAGAACGTTTTTTTGTTTTTTGCTGATTAGATGTGATAAAAAAGAGTGGTTAACTTCAATTAGTGCCTAGTCTTGACCCTGCATGGAGTTATCAGTCAAAAACCCAAGTTTACTAATTGCCTCAATAACGTTTAACAACTTGCAAATGCTTAATTTTTGTGCCGAAAGTTTAGCCAACATGACCATTAGCCTTTCTGTAAACGAGTTATTCCCGCAAAGAAACACACACACGTCATTCGTCAGACCAACAAATCAAAGCTGAAGTTAGCTAGCTTCAGCCCTCGCACTTCTTATCGGTTTTTTTTTTTATCAGGCCAAACATTGACTAAAGTTTACCGAGGCCCTGAACCGCAATACATATAGGGTAAATAAAAGGGGTAAATGGGGAAATCACACACCCACAGTTCAAACTCTAATAAAACCTTAATTAGCAACAGTTGGAATATTTTCCCTAAAAAGTGAATTAAAGCTCTACGAAAATTATTCTATTTCCCTACTTAAGTTATCGTTAAGATAAGTTCCCCTACTTAAAATATCGAAAATAAATCAAAATAAATATTGTTCTATGCCATAAATTAATAACTTTAAATGTGGGCGTTAAAAATTTGAGCACTTTACATAAGTAAAAAATTCCCTAGTCAGCAATGACTCCATTTAAGATGGGTCTTCTTTCGGCACAAACTTTTTAAGCATTGCACGATTTTCAACTACTAATCAAATTCAGGTTTATCAAGAAAAACTAATATGCGATTTTTTTTTAATAACTCCTCTGTTTAGACGAACGCGATGCCATTCAAAAGAAGACTTTCACAAAATGGGTTAACAAACATCTAAAAAAGGTGAGTAGATGAGCGCTAAAGCTTATAAGGAGTGCCCTCAAACACAAAACACTTTTAAATTGTTCCTATTTTTTCCTCACGCAGCATTGGAAGTATGCTAAGGTATTCCCCAGTAATCATTAAAAATATGTAACTTTTTATGAACTTCAAAACTGATTTTCCTACGATTTTCAGACCTATACTATGCTTCATGTTTGTGTAACCACAAATGGCATACCCTGTTGTTCTCAGTCTGTAAGTCGAGTATTAAAGGCTTACCCAAATTTAAAGCTTAATATTTCTATTTAAAAAGGAGACTGTTGTAATTTTATTTAGTTTGTATAACTCTGCAAATAAAATTTAATTTTGGACAATCAATTTTTATTAATTTTGCTTTCTTTAGTTTTTATTGCGCTGCTTATCCAACATGTTCAGTTTACCTTGCAGTTTGTTTTGCTGTTCAGTCCCAGCAATTTCGAGTGGTTTTGTTTGCATGTATTTTTCTTTGGGCCACTCTCTAATTTATTTAAATTCACCTTTTCTTGTATTTTCCAACCGCCTCCCTCACCTGCAGGCGAATCGTCGTGTGGTGGACTTGTTCGAAGATCTGCGCGATGGTCACAATTTACTTTCACTCCTGGAGGTGCTATCTGGCGAACACCTGGTATGTTTTGTTCAATTGATTTCTTAGCAGTTTTGTCACGCTCTCGCCAACGTTTTTCACTCGTGTTCTTTTTTTTAGCCACGCGAGAAGGGTAAAATGCGTTTCCATATGCTGCAGAATGCACAAATGGCTCTCGACTTTCTGCGTTACAAGAAAATCAAATTGGTCAACATACGCGCGGAAGATATTGTGGATGGCAATCCCAAGCTGACCCTGGGCCTGATCTGGACCATTATATTGCACTTCCAGGTGAGTTGTTGGACAAATATATATATTTTCATTGATTGAGCAATTGGAGCAAAACTGTGGGCGCTGCTTTGGTGGGCAGTGATTCAAAGTCAGCGAGACAGCTCCGCCCACGTACCACTCTTGCGACTGAAGGTGACCCCCGGTCTAGAGTTTGTTTTCATCTGGGCGTTTGAATCGATTCATTGAGCCGAATTGGCAGCGAGCAGCCTACACAACAACCCAGCCACAGTCTTGACACGCTACAAGCAACGCGCGATCTACCTAAAACTATTTTTGGCGAACGCGGCCCTCCCTTTTAAGGCAACCCGATTGCCTTCTCTTTGCCATCGCTGCTGACTGACACACATAACAATGCTGCTGCTGCTACAGTTTCTCGTCAACAGCAAGGCCGTGAGTAGGCTTTAAAGCCGGGGGTAGGGGGAGTGGTTTCGGCCACCTACACAACAACTGGCGGCGACAAGGCAAGCCAGAGAAACGCAGCGTTGTGATGCAGTTTAAAACAAAGCAATATAATACAGAAAAATAAGTTACAACACTCATTCAATAACTGCATAAAAAATCTCTAAAAAATAAATTCATTGTTTATTGCTTTCGATAAAGACGGATAAAGTTTATCTTTATTAAAGTAGAGATGTTTGGTAAAATATATTTTCAAATTCATATATGAGGCACATCAGAATGAATAAATTCAAAATAATTTTTAGAATTTTTTTTGAGTTTGTTTTGAAATATTACGAATTCTTATTACAGATTTATACATAAATATAAACAATATATTACTTATCCTATTAATGTAAAGTAGTCATATTTTGTTTATATTAATGTATGACTTTTTAAATAATCTTTAATAGGAATTCGTAATATTTAAAAAAACCAAAGTTTTTATTTTTTTACACTGACACATCGTCGCAATGCATTTCCGCAGTATGTGTGTCAACTGGCTGCAGTACAAATCTTGTATATTTCGTAACTTGCTACGAACGCAGATGCATTTTCAAGTCGTCGCTGGATGTCGATGAGGCTGCGGATTGACTTTGACTTGATCGATGGCGCGCATAAATGCTCCATGATGCTGTCAGTTCAGCGACTATGAGGCAACAGCAACTAGCAACGGCAGCAGCCGCAGCCGCAGCAGAAACATTAACGACAGCAGCAACACGCAACTGAGCCTGCCAAATGGCGCTTATTCAATTGAGGCGAACGAATTGCAAATCACTTGACAATGTGAAACTTAACCGCTTAACCGTCATTTACTGTTTTCTGTCTTATTCATTATTTTTTGCCTGCCTGCCGCCAAGGATTTATGTATATTGCCACTGCCGTTGCGGGTGTCTGATGTCATCCAATCTTGCTTTGAAAAAATATGCAAATTCACACTGATCGACTTAAAAGGATATTTCTTGTTTTGCATACCAAATTATTTGCCTTACAGCGTTCTCAGTCTAATTTAATTTGTAGTTATCCAAATCTTAAGTCAAATCGCAATCGACATCTTGCAATTATGACATAATTTCTATTTCCATTTGGCTAACAAAGCGAAGCTGTTTTTTGTGTATAATTTATAATCGGCGTTTTATGGGTCAACGCTGAGAAAATATATTGTTAAAGGTGAACAAAATAATAATAAGCAGCGGAGCAATTTTCTAAACAGCAGCCGCTGGCAGTTTGTAACGCTGCTCAGCTTGTAATTAAGTTATTAATTGTGCAAGCGAATCGTTTTGATCTATGCACCACCCACAAAAACAGCAAAAATAAAGCAATCAATCGGAGACTTTACATGTACTTGAGACATAAAACCTGTTGAGCTTTATAGCATTTTCTAGTACTTTACACGTGGTTTCAATGATCCTCGTATATTTTAGTACTTATTTATGACAGCTTTTAGCTTAATTTGTACAGGTTTAGCACGCTCTAGTTAGTTAAAAGTTAAAATCATCTTCAATGATGATCTGCTAACAACGAAAATTAAATTTTAGAACTTCATCAACGGGTATCTAGATAAAAAAATTTGTTTTTCATAAAAAATACCAGTCCTGAATTTCGTTGATTCTGGGACTCCCAAACTATCTTGGGTTAATTCATTTGTATTCATATACCTAATACTTTATGTTATCCAGTTAACGTAAAACGTATTTACTGTTTCAGTATCGTTTAGTGAACCTCAAGCGTCAAATTGAAACCAATAACTTTTCGGCTGCCAGGTAATCGTCCTAAGGCGCTCACTTAAGTTAAGTTATAAATTGCTCCGAGCCTCAAGGCGACGGTGTGTGCCAAATCGCCGAGATCTGTGTCGAATTGTTCTGACAAACGTTTTCATTATGAGCATCTGATAATTTTCTTAGCAATTTGCCATTTTTCATTGCTCGTTAGTTGGGGAGGAGTGCGGATATGAATGCCAGGCGTTTGTTTTATAAAACTCCCAAGACCAATGCAAATGTTCAGAATAAAAAAATAACGTCTCGAAAGAAAGCTAAAAAACAAATGCCAGATATTAAAAAAAAAACCCAGACATTCTCACGTCATCTTTCGAACTTGAAAAGATTAATTTTTTTGGATATCTCTTTGTGACATTTGATTTATTATAATACGCCACGGTATGTGTTACAATAAAGTCAATGCCAGTTGGGGTACAGCAACAGTCAATAACGAGAATTACTAGGGAATAAATAAGGTGGAGTAAAGGTGTTTTTTTACAGCCCTGCCCATGACATCAGCAATCCTCGGTTCTTGACAATCGAAAGACTTAAACGCTGACAGCAAAAGCGAACTTTAGGACTAACTGGCTGAGAAGCATATCGAATGTCCAAAGTGGAGTGCTTACAAAACAACAACAACATATGCACTTATTCGTCTTAATTTATGATATTAATGACTGAAATTTTGAATAGCTTTGGTGTGTGGGTTCGATCTCAAAATCTATCTATAGTCATCGAAGATAAAAACAAAGAAATTTTTATTAACAAATCGATAGCTGGCTTATGGTCAAATAAGGCAACAATCTGTCTCTCCGCCTCTCTCTCTCTCTCTGATTATGTTTCGCCATCTCTTTCTGTTTGATATGCAAATTTCAAGAGCTGCCTAGAATAATTGTTGGCACTCAAGCCGCCTTTACCAGTGTAAGCGTGTTTCTAATGACTTGTTATTAATATGAATACTCAACGCTGGATATATTTCAAGTGTGTAGATGGAATTACAAGCGACTTGGGTAAATCACTTGAGCTAGCTGCCGATGTTGATGAGCCCACACGATAATAATCCTAGGAATGTTCGACGTATTTGGTGAAACACCTACACCTCACCACTTACCCACAAGATGCGTTCCGGGCTTAGGTTAATACCATAAAACAAAAATGTTTATACCGATACAACATAATTATAATATTAAATAACGTTCCATATCGATGCTGTATTAATAGGTTTTAGCTCAGTTTTTTTTTGCCATGATAGGATATTTATGGTTTATTATGTTTATGTGTAAAACTAACTTTGATCTATTGTAAAGATTGCATTTATATATTTTACATCTTGCCAATAAAAAGTATATATGGGCAAAATAATACGAATAACCAGTGAAATAATATTTAAAACTGATAAAATATTGTTTTATGATCATTATTAAAGTTTTTTCTATGTGTGAAAATTCCTGAGGGGGGTAAAAATTAGAAGAGGGGTCAAACAATATTAGCAGCTACTGATTCCGCTTTGTTTTTTCACCACAAACAACACATTTCAAGTGCAAAACACTGCTCAAATTACGAATAGTGGCAAAATAATGCCGCATTTACTTATTGGGTTGCATCATATCAGTATTAATAAGCACATTCCCAATACGTGTACTTAGCCGTAATACCACCCCACATCCAGCACCGGCTAATTAGATTTGAAATTCAGTTGCACAGTTTCAGAGACTCGCGATCCCTAGCTGTGGGGTCTACGTCTACCTGTGTTGACCATAGCTATTCGAGAATGTGTGTGAATCCAAAAACAACTGACAGCAGTTAAGAGTATTTATTACCCACACATAAATATGGCAAGCAAATATGCCGGTCCAACCAACAGCTGTAGTCGCAGTCACTGCCTTTTACTCCATATAGGGCATCGCCATCGGGGTTTAAGGCATGTAACATGATAATTAACCAATGTTGGCGGTGCCGGAGCGAGTGCTTGTATCGTGAACGCACACGAATGAAAGCTACTTCCGCACATATATTTATAAACCCACTTAAATCCGATGGACTTCCTAATTGCAAGATAATTGCAATACTTCTGAGTTATCATATTGGGCCGCTAATTTAAATTATTTGTTATTATTTAAAAAAATGTACGATTTTCTAGGTCTTCAAAAAATGTATACTTTGAATAGCACATACTCTTCCGCAAAAAGTTATAACTGTTATGTTATACTTTTATTTTATTATACTATACTATTAACTTTATACATTTTTGCAGGTATTAAGGGCTGTCAAAATGTTAGTATTTATTTTATTTCCTTTTACATTCTTACAACACAAATATATGAATACATTACGTTGTATTTCGGATATTAATCAAGGTTTAACGTATATATATCTTAAAAACTATATAACTACGTTTTTGCATTTTCGCATTTTCTTCAAGTGCTTTTTCCCCTGCCTTTTTTTTTTTTTTTTGTTTTTGCCATTTTTCCACTCTTTCCGGTTACCCTTTATCATCTGCTCTGAGGTAAACCTGTTAACATAATTGATCATTTATGTTTTTGCCGTGTTTTTAGGTCACTCTGCAATGAGTTGATCGTGATATGTTATGAGATTTAAATTCAAATTGCGAAGACCCAAAAATACCGTGGGGTCATAGCAAATCGCTGTTTTCGTCGTTCTTTTTACTATTTTCGGTTTGTTAAGTTTTTAATCAAATCTCATTGTCCACATTCCACTACCATTTTTGTTTCCTTTGTTCTTTTCCATCATCAACTTCCCCGTCTTGTTTGCATTATTACTCTTTGCCTTGGTATTCTTGTAGTT